TGAGCAATACCTGTATCCTCAATATGTGTCCTTCAGGCTCAAAATGACTTCAGTCATCAAGATCAAGGATGGCTCACAATGGAGATGAATTTCCTGCCCATCCTGTGATTTCTGGCCACAGGCTCTCCTGTGAACATGCATATTATTTTCCTAAGCCAGACTCAGAAAACCCCCAACAGGTAGTCCCATAAAAACCCTATTAAACCATTTGCATTGAGGACTGCTTGTTCTGCAGCAATAGCTAGCCCTTGCAATAACAAAAGAGAACACAGCTGAGGGTGATTGCAATAGAGTGCCAGTTTCTTTGCTTGGTTGGTTGGTATTTGATATTTGTTCTGATTTTAAAGACAATATTCATAAATACAAAAGGTGGGGTTAAATGATCACTGTCAGGTTTCTGTTCTCTCGACTAAACAGCTCAGGGGTCACTCCAAGTAAACTGGGCTAATTGGGCTGTACAAAATAACCACACAAGAGACACAAGTACCTTTTCCTTTGGGGTTGCTGTGACGGCTCCTCTGACCTTAAGGGTCCACAGGAAGAGAGAGAGAGAGAGAGAGAGAGAGAGAGAGAGAGAGAGAGAGAGAGAGCACGTGCTGACCCCTTTTATTGAGGAGAAGTTATTGAAATGAGACAAGGGGTCAGGTTTCAGGGGGCTGAGTCTATCTTCATGATGTCCACTGTCAGCAGGTTGACTGACACCTGGGTAGGCCACACCCAAGGGCACAGTAAGAGAAGGGGACACACTTAAGGCACTTCCATGGAAGATTCTACCCTAAACAGGGCAAGGGGTTATATTACAAAGGAACAGGTGAACATAGCTCCACCATTGGGCTGTAGCAAGACACACCCATGTACGAGACACTGTCCCTCAAACCCAAGAAGGGTGGGGAAAGCTCTGCCACATTTCTGTGACTGAGCGCCTCAGCACCCAGCCGGGGAGTGTGACTCAGTCACATGTAAGGTTGGTCTCACACAGATCACAGGTTGCACAGAGGAGGACTTGGACAGCTATGGGGAACTGTCCTTCTGTCCATCACATCCCCCACCTACCCAGCAGCTCTAACCTAGAGAAGCTCATGCAACACACACACACACACACACACACACACTAGTATGGTTCTCACCTTGCCTACTTGCTTTAATGGGGGGGGCCAGCAAACTTCTGAGAAGGGGCAGAGAGTCAATGTCTTGGGCTTCACAGGCCACATGGTCTCTCACAGTGACTCAGCTCTGCCATGAGGGTGGCAGCCATCATATATACCAAAGGAGCGGGTGTGGCTGTCTCCCAACAAAACTTTACTTATGGAGACCAAAACTTGAACCTGATGCAAAACCACAGTGAGATGCACTTCACACCCCAGAATGAACATAGAGAGGCAAAGACTGCAGAATCCCCCTTGAAGTGGAACCCAGAACTGCTGGTGTCTGGGGAGCAGAGAGGAGACTAATGGTTACCAGGGCTGGACAGGAAGAGGAGGGTAGTGAAGGTCGTCAACAGGCACAAAGTCACAGTCAGGAGGAATGCGTTCTGGTGTTCTGTTGCATTCTAGAGTCACTAAAGCTAATCAGAATGCAATTGTTTTTAGTCAAGAAGAGAAGATTTTTGAATGATCTCAGCACAAAGAAACGATATGTGTTTAGGTTGCACATTTGGCAATGGCCCTGAAATGATCATTACACATTATAGACAATTCTGTTGTGAATAAGTAATATAAAAAGCGACATTTTAATCAGAGACTCTATGTCTAATAGAAGAAAAATTAGGCCCTAATCTTCATCATGTGGTATTAAGTCCCAACTTCCTTAATAAGACTCCTATAGTGCAAGAATTAAAACCAAGAATCAATAAATAGGATGGATTCAAACTAAAAAGTTTCTACTCAACAAAAGAAACAATCTGTGAGGTGAACAGAGAACCTACATTCTGGGAGAAAATTTTTACCCCTCACACATCAGATAGAGCACTAATCTCTAGGGTATATAAAGAACTCAAAAAGCTAAGCACCAAAAAAACAAACAACCCAATCAACAAATGGGCCAAGGACCTGAACAGACACTTCTCAGAAGAGGACATAAAATCAGTCAACAAATATATGAAAAAATGTTCATCATCGCTAGCAATTAGAGAAATGCAAATCAAAACTACTTAAGATGTCAACTCACTCCAGTCAGAATGGCAGCTAATATGAAGACAAACAACAATAAGTGTTGACGAGGATGTGGGGAAAAAGGCACACTCATACACTGCTGCTGGGACTGCAAATTGGTGTAGCCAATATGGAAAGCAGAATAGAGATTCCTTAGAAAACTGGGAATGGAACCACCATTTGACACAGCTATCCCTCTCCTCAGACTATACCCAAAGGACTTAAAAACCAGCATACTACAGGGACACAGCCACATCAATATTTACAGAAGCACAATTCACAATAGCTAAACTGTGGAGACCAAAATTTGAACCTGATGCCCTTCAGTGGATGAATGGATAAAAACTGTGGCATATATACACAATGGAATTTTACTCAGCAATAAAAGAGAATAAAATCATGGCATTTGCAGGTAAATGGATGGCATTGGAGAAGATAATGCTAAGTGAAGTTAGTCAACCCAAAAAAACAAATGCTGAATGTTTTCTTTGATATAAGGATGCTGATTCATAGTGGGATAGGGAGAGGGAGCATGGGAGGAATAGACGAACTCTAGATAGGGCAGAGGGGTGGGAGTGAAAGGGAGGGGACAGGGGATCAGCAAGGATGGTGGAATGTGATGGACATTATTATCCACAGTACATGTATGAAGACACGAATTGGTGTCAACTTACTTTATATACAACTAGAGATATGAAAAATTGTACTGTATACATGTAATAAGAATTGTAATGCATTCCACTATTACTTATTTTTTAAAACTCAATAAAAATTAAAAAATAAAAAGCACGACAACCAATTCTAATTCTGAATGACTCAGATAAAAAGAAAACATTGAAATTGTTCAAGTTCATAGATGTAGGAAAGAAAGTTTTAAAAAATGTAGAAATTTCACTAAGAATGAAGAACTGTACCATTTGTTAAAAAAAAGGAGAAAAAGAAGAAGAAAAGAAAAAAAGTAATATTTTTTAAAAAGAAAATAATAATATTGGTGAGGATGTGAAGAATCTGGAATCCTCATGCACTACTCCTGGGAATGGAAAATGGCCCAGCCATTGTGGAAAACAGTTTGGCAGTTCCTCAGAAAGTTAAACATAGAATTATCACATCACCCAGCATCTTGACCCAATCCATGTGCACCCCAAAGAATGGAAAACTGGAACTCAAACAGATGCTTGCACACCAAAGTTCACAGCAGAATTATTCAGTGCTGAGTTGCTGAGGCTGGCTTTATACTTGAAATCCTCCTGCCTCAGCCTCCTGAGCCCCTGGGACAAAGAGAAATTTATATGTTCTTAACTGAAAGAGAAAAACAAATGGTAAATAAGTACACAGCAATCAAGGAAATTAAAATTAATTTTAAAAAGGGAGCTAATATTGCAAGCATTAGTTTAGGAAAATCTGCCAAATTGATTATATTTAATAGTAGTTAAACCAGGGGTGAAATGTATATTCCTGATAGTAGATATTGGAGTCAATTCATGTAGACACTTTATTCAGCAATTTGGTACCAGTTATGAAAATTTAAGTGGTGCATACCTAAGGCCCACCAAACACACTTCTTTTGATCTACATCACATTAAACAATCCCATGTTTACCGAAAGCTATTAGGTTGGCTGCGGTATATTTGCAAGAGTGAAAAATTTCATGACATACAAGCAACCATCAACAAAGAATAGCAAAACAAATTGAGTATGTCAGTATAAATTTTGAAAAGAGGACACACCAGTCCATAGTACATATTATATTGTAAGTATTAATTTTGTCAAGTCAATACTTACAGTATAATATTGTATCTTTTTACAGATGCAAAGTGAGGAGCCTGAGTTTAGGAGAAGTGATTTGAAAATATAAAAGTCCCCTTTGGGAATATAAGATTTTTTTCAATAGTGCATATACTTATTAATATTATTTAGTTGTTACAAGCGTCAGCTTAGAGCTTATAAGGGAGGACAGACGTCATATTCACAACAGATGAGATTTCTGCAAGTGAACTCAGATTGGGCCAGGAAGCAAGACAGAATTTGGTGTAACCTGGGGGTAGGGACATTCAAACCTACAGTGTATGCACGGCACACTAGCACACTTAACAATAAAGACTGCAAAGAATAAGGTGTCTTCTGGGTATTCAAAAGAATAGTCTGATTTTTCACAGCAATTACCCATTTTATTCCAATGTGATTATGAATCATAAATACAGAAAACACAAAACTAAAATTTGTAACAAACAATAGTAGTATGGGGACCAGGTGGCTCTGCAGGACCTGCCTTCTCGACTTTCCAGGTATCAGTGTTGGGAATGCCAAGTCTTGCCTCTGGTTGGGGACACGGTGCTTTTGGTGGAAAGGAAACAGTAAGACACAAACTTACACAGATGCACCTTCTCCCTGCCCTGGAGCAGAGTCATGTGTTGGGCTGTTTGACTTCTCCTGTCCCCATCTAGTGAAGCCCTGAGTTCTATTTTTAATCATGAGCCTTGTTTTCATGTAAGTTACACAAGTAAGTCTAGTGATAGGTAATAAATAGATAAGTCTATTCATTCTGAACCAAGGTCCTTATGGGGCAAGAAGACCAGGAGAATGATCCTTCATGCTTGAGCTTCTAATGCACAGTGTCCACCTTCCTTACTCGAAAGATGTGTGTCACACCCAAGGAGATCGTCAGCACTACTATTACCCAAACTAAGCAAATATTTGGCAACAAACCTCTGAGTTCTGAGAAATTCACAGGGAACTGATCAGAGGAAGAAAGCATCCAGACCGTGATTTCCTCACTGTGGTCAACTTCGTCACGAGTAGTATTTAAACAGGAAGCATTCTTAATTCCAACCAGAACCAAACGTCCTCCGTCACTGGGCTGGCTGGTCTTGGCACCATGAGGAGTGGATGTCTAAGACTGCTCCATGGTAAGTGGAATCGTGACATGTGACAGGCAAAAAAGGGAGCTAGGAGCCACCAGAAAGTCCTTTGATTCATTTTTGACTGGTTTTCTCACTGTCTCTGTAAAGGAGAGCAGGGAGGGTATTTTTAAAAGATATCAGCTCTATTTTTAATTATTAAGTTCTCAAAGAAGAAAGTTGTTCCTAGAAAGTTACTCCCTAGCGCAAACTTTAGCACACAGGGGGTTTCTCATTTATTCCCTGATGCAGCAGGGCTCTCCGGATAAACAGGACCAATAGGGCTCTACAGAGAGAGGGGAAGACAGTTATTTTAAGAACATGGCTCATGCAATTGTGCAGGCTGGAAGTCCAGACTCTGCCATGTAGGTGCAGAATGTAGACCAGGGAGGAGGTGACAGGTTGGAGACCAGGGAGGAGGTGGCAGGATGGAGACCAGGGAGGAGGTGGCAGGATGGAGACCAGGGAGGAGCTGATGTTCCATCTCAGGTCCAGAAGCAGTCTGGGCCAGAACTCCGTCCTCCTCAGGGGGCCAGTCTTGGTCTCTTAGGGCCTCCATGAGTTAGATGAGCCCCCCACAGGAGAGGGGATCCTGCTTTCCTTGCAGTCTTCACATTCAGTGGGGTCTCCTCTGATGAAGGCCTCACGGCAATGTTTAGAGCCTGACCAGCTGTCCAGGCAGCGCATTAGATAAACTGACCAAGAAGGAACCACCAATACCCCCAGACTTTATTTTAGGGACTGAGAACCAGACTCTATTTGACTCCTGGCCTGTCTCTCTGTTGAACAGCAAGAGGCTCATGTACCTAAGGCCCGGTTGACTTAAGGAGGGTCCCCAGGATGTGCCCTGGGAAGGGGCAGCTGCTGAGAGGCAGGAACAGCAGGAGGAGGCCCCCAGCCTGAGCCCAGCACCTGCTCACAGCACCTTCCTGTTGGGGGGTTATAGGGCACCACGGGGTCCCAGGACAGGCCGTGGGGCTGACAGTGGTGGTGGCAGATGTGGCTCTCAGGTGCCCCAGCCACAGCTGCAGGCCAGGTGGCTAGTGTGGTGTGTGTCCCTGAGGAAGGGGACAGGGCCAGAGCACCTGAGAGTCCAGGCAGGGGACCTGAGACAACAGCTGGCCCTGACCCTCTCTTCCTAACTAAAGGTCAGCGATGGTAGTAAACACCCCGACACACTGGGGTTTGTTCCCACGTGACCCTAGGACGTGGGTGTCATCTTGTCCCCACTCCACAGAAAGGGAACCTGAGGCAGGCAGTGAGGCAGCCTGCCTGTGCTCCAGGGTCTGAACCAGGGCCACCAGGCTCCAGTCCCCCACCCACAGGCCAGGAGAGCCACGGCTGGAGCCCAGAGCTTGCCAGGCTCAGCCCCCTTCCCATCCCCCAGACCCTCTGGGAGGTGCCACCTGGGCTCCCTCTGAGGCGTGGACCAGGTCCGAGCCCAGGAGGGTCCACAGCCCCTGCCCTCCAGTGCATCACCTCCAGCCTCCTCTGCCTGCTGGGCTGCTGACCTGCCCTCTCTGTGTCACAGGGCTGCTGTGTGTCCTGCTGAGTCTCTCCAGAGCTGGAGCCCAGGGCTCTCAGGGTGAGTATTGGGGAGCAGCGTGTCCACAGCCAGAGCCTGGGAGGGGCCCTGCACCCGCAGCCCAGGGAGGAGAGGCCTGAGCAGGGAGGCTCAGGGCATCTCCCCATCTCCTGGGACCTCCTCTGGGACCACATTGCCCCCTCCCAGCCTCTGACCAGTCTGTGCCCCCACAGCCTGTAACCCCCGGTGCCCTCCTAACTCGGAATGTGTCAATGCCACCGCCTGTCGCTGCAAGCCGGGGTTTGCCTCTTCATCTACAGAGATCTTCACTGACCCCCTGGAGATCTGTGATGGTAAAGAGGACGGGGGAGGGGCAGGGCACATCAGAATCTGCGGGTGCCCAGTGCCAGTGGGGTCATGGGTAATGGTCAAGGCTGAGCCTTTGACCTCAAGGCCATCATCAAAGACAGAAAAGAGAAAGGAAAGAGTAAGATGGCAGAGAAACCAGGGAATTGCATGGCTTCCTGCACAGAGAGGACCTGGGCCCCAGGGGTTGTCTCAGCCTGACCTTAGATCTGGGGAAGGTGACACTGAGCTTATAGCCCACCCCCAACCTTGGCATTGTCCCCTGTGTCCAAACTGGGAGTGTCAGCCAGAGGACTGAGATGAACAGAGCAGACTATGTGGCCTTCAGGAAGAGCTTGCTCCAGCTAGAGCACAGCCTCAGCACTGAAGCCCAAGATTCTCTCCAATAGATTCTAACTCCACGTGAGACCCCATGCTGAGGGGCCAGGTAGGGAAGAGGAGTCTCTTGCCCCAGAGACCACACACATTTGGGAGGTGACCTTTTGTCCTATTATGTTGCAGACATCAATGAATGTGTGCCACCCATGAAAGTGTCCTGTGGAAAACTTGCTGACTGCCAGAATGTGGAGGGGAGCTACTACTGCACGTGCAGCCCGGGCTATGAGCTCCGTTCTGGGGGAACAAACTTCACTAATGAGAGTGAGAACACATGTCAAGGTAAGGCCTGACCCTCACCCCGACCCCACATGCAGTTCAGGGCACCAGAGCTGATGTGGGGACAGCACTCAGTTATAGCCTCAGCGCCTGGACTGTGAGATGGGGCAGCTGTGCATGCACGTGTCACCAGCACGAGAGGCGGGTGCCACAGTCTAGCTGGGCACAAAATCACGAGCCACTCAAGCAGGAACAAACTTTATTTCCAAACTCCCCCGAACACCACCCACACGGCCCTCTCAGGAACACCACACACCAACGGGAACTCCCTCCACCCGAACTTCACCAACCAACCAACCCGAACTCTTCAGGAATCCCTGCGAGAACTCCAAATTAGCAGGCGCCTCAGACAGCAGGAGCTGCCCTATACACAGCCTGTTTCAATCCAGCATCATCCAGTCACAGCAATTATACACAGCTGAACTTAATTATCATCATCTCCATGGCTCGCCTCTCAACCTTTACTTCTGGCAAAATGCCAGGGGCCATTCCGACTGGACAGTGGCTCTCAACAGGTGGGGGAGGGTCAGGGCACTCTGGGACCAGCTGCTCGGCCCCATCCTGATACCTCTTCCTGTGACAATGGCCAAGGTGCTTATCAGGAAACCCTGTGGACATGTGATGTGATGACATCATTGTTGTTTTCTGTTAAAAAAAAAAAATCCAGGCACAGTGGCCTGTGCCTGTGGTCTCAGTTAGTTGGGAGGCTGAGGCAGGAGGATCACTAGAGCTCAGGAGTCCAACGCAGCCTCAGAAACAGAGAGACCCCACCCCTAGCAGGAAAAGTGGGGGAGAGAGAAAAAGAAAAAGAAAACCACAGGAAGGAGCCCCTATCTTCTAAAGCTACAAACAAAGGTAGAGGCTGGGGTGCGACTCCTGGGAACAGCCATTGCCTGGCATGAGCAGGGCCCTGGGCTCCCCCTGCAGCACTGCAGAAAATCAAAACCAAACCAGAGGTAGCTTTGCTCTTGGTTCACTGTGTGACTTCACACAATTCACCTCACCTCTCTGTGCTGCAGTGTGTCCATCTGTAGAAGGGGAGTCCTGGGACTGAGGTGTAGCTCAGTGGTAGAGCACTTGTCTAGGAGGTGTGTGTCCCTGGGTCAGTCCCCAGCACCAGGGGAAGAAAGGGGGAGAGGGGGAGAGTCATAAGGAGGGAAATGAGATCCAAAGGCACTGAGCAGGTCCTGGCTCCCAGAACATGCTGTTAGCAATGGCTTCTGAGCTGAACAGGGCCTGGGCCCCAGGAGTTGGGCTCACCTGCCCTTAGGTCTGGGGGGATGAGGAGCTTCAAGCCCACGCCCACCTCAGCATTGTCCCCTGGGTCCAGATCCAGGGTTGTCAGCCAGAGGACTGGGACAGAGCTATCCTGTGGCATCCAGGGGCCAAGGCCCTGGTTGACACAGGTGGTGCCCACTCCAGGCCACTGTCCCACCAGCACAGAGATGGAGGGTGGTGTGAAGGCCAAGGTCAGAGGCAGGGATGAGCTTCCTGGGTCCAAAGCCTGGACTGGCCACCCGTGAGCAGCATGGGATCAGCAAAACCACTTCCTCTCTTGGAGCCCTCCTTGCATCTGCCCCTAGGAGCCTGGAGCCCCAGAGATCCCATGAGGTGGTGGCTCTCAGTGGCTCATTACTGGGGAACACAGGGAGCTGGGGGGGGGGGGCTGAGCCCAAGATGTGGGAGAAATGTGGGAGTTGGTGGAGGGTCCCCTGGGGGTGCTGCTGCACCTCATTCCCAGCTGTCCCCACGCGACCCCACCCCACCTGGTCCCCTCCACCTATGGCACACCTCTGCAGCCATTGCTACCAGCTGAGAACAGGGTAGGGGACTGGGATCGCCCCATGGGGGCTGGACAGGGGCCCTAAGGGTGCATCGGCCCCTGTCCTGCCCCGTCCTGCTGTTCATCCACACAGCCCAGATGAGGGGTCCCAGCAGGGCATCCTCAGGTGCAAAAATGGGTCCAGGGAGATCAGAAGCCCTCCCTGCCTCATACTGACTCCAGGAATCCTCTGGGCTCCGGGAATCTTTGGCCCCTTTCTCGGACACCCAGGACCGTCTGCCATGAGCTGTCACTCACTCCTGTCTTGGGTTCTCTGAGGCTGCTGTGTTGGCCATTCACCTCAGGCCTCTGTCCTGTGGGTCCCTGTGGCACTCAAAGGGGACCTGCTTCCTGATCATGTTCCCCTCACGTTTAGAGACCAGGAGAGATAAGAAACCAGGAAACACCCCTGGGCCTCAGCTGGGAGCTGCTTCCAGAAGCTTCCTCATTTCCTGTCTGTGGTCATCTCTGATAAGGGGGAACTTCCTCCAGGGGTGGTGACAGCAAGACTCCCCAGAGACAAGCTGGGCACCTTGGAAAGGCCTGTCAGTGTCCACCCACAGTTCTGAGTGCCACACTAGGAGCTGGGGGATTCCTGGGGACGATCAAGGGTGCATTTGTTCCACTGTGAGGAAAGGCAGGTAGAATTGGATGCAGGCTGGGGCCTGTGCACCTCGGTTTGTTTTATTTTTGGTTTTTGTTCGTTTGTTTCTTTTGGTCCTGGGGATCTAACCCTGGGGCTTACCACTGACCACATCCCAGCCCTTTTCATTATTTTCTTGGAGACAGGGTCTTGATGAATTTCTTAGGACCTCCCTGTGGTTGAGGCTGGTCTTGAACTTGCAATCCTCCTGCCGCAGCCTCCTGAGTCACTGGGATTACAGCATGTGCCACCTCACCTGCTTGAGCACCTCGCTTTAGTTCTTCTTGTTGCTGCTCAGTGGCAAGGTTTTTAAATTGTAATGAAATCTGCATCCATAAAACTTATCATTTTAACCACGTTCCAGTACACTAGTTCTGTGGCAATCAGGACATTCCTGTTACACAACTATCTCAGTCATCCCTCTCTAGGAGTGTTTTCCTGGTTTTTTTTTTTCTTTATTTCTTTAACTGACAAATAAAAATACTGTACATATTCATCATAAGTAGAATGATGTTTTGAAACATGTGTGCACACTGGGATGGCTAAATAGAGCTGATTAGCATATGCAATGCCTCACGAGCTGATTTTTGTGGTAAGAACACTTCAAATCAAATCCCTTAGTAATTGTCAAGAATACAGAACGTTAGCCATACCTAGTGATGCACACCTGCGATCCAGCAGCTCTGGAGGCTGAGGCAGGAGGATCACAAGCTTGAGGCCAGCCTCAACAACTTACCAAAGCCCTAAGTAAACACTTTCCCCACTGAGGAAATAAAAAATAAACAGAGGGGATGCGGCTCAGAGGTAGTTCTATTTTTAATATCTGAGGACCGTCCCCACTGCCTTCCATCACAGCGGGGCTCACTTACGTTCCCAGCTCTGGTGTGCACAGAGTCCTTTGCTCTGACTGCTGGCCAGCCTTGTGCCCATCTGGCTTCCCCAACAGCCACCCAGCAGGTGTGAGGCTACTTTTCATCACAGTCCATTTCTAGTCCCCTGAGGATTGGCGATGGCGGGGGATTTCTCCTGGGCCTCTGGGCCCTTCTCCTGTTGTCCTTTGAGAAGTGTCTGTTCAGGTCATTTGCCCATTTGCGGAGGGGGTGAGCGGGTTTCTTACTGCTGAGTTGCTTGATCAAGCTTCTCATGATACTTTGCATATTGACACCTAATAAGATGCGTGGCTTGTGAGTGTGCCTCCCGTTCCCTGAGTTGTCCCTCACTCTGTCCACTGTTTCCTTTGCTTTTCAAAAGCTGTTAGTTGGCTACGATCCCCTTGGTCCATTCGTATTTTGCTGCCTGTGCCTTGGGTCCCGTCCAAACCATCACTGACAGGCCACCGTCACGCAGCTCTCCCCTGTGCTCTCCGCTAAGCAGCTGGGCAGCTCCAATCTGACCTTCACTATTTAATCTGAGGTGATTTTTATGTGGTGTGAGGGGAGGGTCTGATGTCCTCCTGGTTGGCATGTCCAGGGTCCCAGACCTTTTACTGAAGAGTCCTTCCCATTGTGCGCTCTTGGCACCTTCATCAAAAATCAGTTGTAAATATGTGGGTTTTTCTGGGCTGTCTGTTCTGCTCCGTGGCTGTGTGTGTCTGTCCCCATACAGAACCACACTGTGTTGTCACTACAGTTTCCCAGCAGATTCTGAGGTCAAGTCATGGGATGTGCCCAGCTTTGCTCTGTTTCTGAGCACCTGGCTTTATCCTCAGGTGTTAATTTGAGTGTCACTCTGGGAAGCCCTTGGCCATGATCTCCCACCCCCCACTGCTTAGGCATCAAGGGTGGCCATCACTGCCACCTTCTCCCTGAGCGTAGACCACCTGTAGGACCCCAGTGGTGCAAAGATTCCCACAGGGGAGGGTCCAGGGAATGGCTGGGCCTCCCTCTGCCACTCCAGGATGGAGAGGAGATGTAGATCCCTTGCCAGGCCCCACCGAGCAGAGAATCTGAACCCGCATGTCCTTGGGCTCTGCTCCAGAGAGCAGACTGGTCCTGGGACGAACAGAGCAGCCAGGCCTCAGGAGGTCCACCTGGGGTCTTAGGTCTATCCACATCTCACAGCAGGGTCAGGCTGAGCACCTGGGTCTCTTCCCTGAGAGAAAGCACAACTTTGGGAGGTGAGCCTCTGACCCGTCATGTTGCAGACATCAACAGATGAGGGCCATGAGAGTGCTCTTTGGAAAATCTGCAGACGGCCAGGTCATACAGGGCACAATTGCTGCCCGTGTAGCCCAGGCTGTGTGCCCATTTCTGGAGCCAAGAATCCTTTATTAATGAGAGGAGAACAGCTGCAAGGTAGGCCCTTCCCCCACCTCCATATCATCAGGGTTGAGGTTACCAGACCCTTTCCTGTGACATCTAGATGGCAGAACCCTGGTTACAGGAGTGGTGCCCTGGTCTGAGACAGGCAGGTGTGCATTTACCTGTTGCCCAGCACAGAAGCAGGGTAGCATGAATGCCAGGGGCCAGCTCTGAGACTGGCTGCCTAGGTCCAAAACCTGCCTGTGCCACCTGTTAGTTGCATGCTATTAGTCAAATCACTTCCTCTCTTTGAACTTGGTCTACCCATCTGTATCATGAAGGTGATCATAACAGTGCCTACCTCCTGTGTCTTCCAGGAGGATTATGAAAAATACAGGTGCCAGTAAGACAGCCTGGCTAAACTAAGGATCAAGGGGACTCTGACCAGACAGTGTCCCCATGGGTGCACATTGTGTCATATGCACATGCCTTGACCAAAGGAAAAAAGCTTTTTTATGAATTTTCAAAAAGCTCCTCCTCTCCAGGTGGACACAGCTGCATCTGATGACTGGAAAGTGGGTTGGTTTTCAGCCCCTGCTTACCATGTGCCTGGGCACCCTGATGCAATGAGCAGCCTGGACAACTGCACCTAAGGGTCAGGATCCTCCTAAGTACAAGCTTCAGCCTCAGATGGTGGCTATCGTTATTGGCACACCCTCTGTGCCCCACACTGTGTTGCTAGATTAGAAAGAAGCCAGGGCTTGTGAGGGAGAGGGGGGCAGAGCTCATTCAGGTGGAAGGGCAGAGGCAGGGGTGAGCAGGGGTGAGGTGGAAGACACCCCCATCCCCCACAGGCCCCACTGGGAAAGAGCAGACTTCTGGCTTGGAAGACCCTGGAGGTGAAGCCTCAGCTCAGTGAGGGGCTCAGCTGGGCCCTACTCGTTCCCTCCTCACCCTTCAACACTGTGGTCTTCACTGCACCTGAAGATAGGACCTCTGGCTTCACAGTCCATGGAGTCAGTAATGGGCAGACCTGGTACCCACTCCCTGGGCTCCTTGCCCCACCTTCTCCAGGCATCTCAGGGCCAAGCAAGACACTTGGCTGCCCATCCCTGTTCTCTCCCCAAGACTCAGAACCCTCCTCAGAGGGCCACTTCTGGACCTTCAGAACACCTCGCTGCCCATCTGGCATCTATTTTGCATGAACATCAAGGGGGAGGGTCAAGATATCCCAGGAGTCCACTGCGAGCTTGTTCCAGTGCCACTCTGTCCTCTTCCCCTTCTAGCGGCTGACAGGATGAGCCCTGCCCCTTCCGGGGATCACAGGGACTCAGCCACTCCTGGAGCACTCCTGGGACCCCAGGAACAATGGACTCAGAGACCCAGTAGGGAAATTCAGGAGGAAGGAGATTCTAGGGTAGGCCAGCACTCCGGTCTGGAGAGAATGCGCTCTGTGCCCCAGGCTTTTCTCGACCACGCCCTCCTCAGCCATGCCCATAAATCCCACCCTCATTGGCCACACCCTTAGCCACGCCCCCATCAAACACGCCCTTCAACACCTCTCAGCCTCATTCATTTCTCTGCACTGCTCTCCATTCTGACTTTGGTTTGCTTGAGGGTTACATCGGGTCGGATGGAAGATGCTCCAGTTGGAACACACAGTAAGAGAGGGTGAAGTAGAACCACTGCCCAGCCCCAACCCTGTCCAGAGGAGGTCAATCCAGATCCCAAGGGCTTGACCACTGGGGACAGAGGCAGATACTGGGTCCCAGGCAGCAGGCCAAAGTCTGTGTCCAGGTGGAGGTGAAGGACAGATGACAGAAGTGCCTGCCACCCCACCCCGTCCCCATGGCTCAACTCTCTGCTGATGTCCTACCACGGCTGGACTCCATAGGACAAGGATGCTTCACAGGGTCAGGAAGACACATGCACGGTCCCAGGGCTGCCTGGCTGGATATCAAGCCTGGGCTCTCTGGCATGGTCCTCACTCCTGATCCTGCCATTGAGTCCTTTCCCAGTGGGCCTGGCTCAGGAGCGAATCTTGGTTCCTCTCCTTGGAGCTGGGCTCTCAGAGCTAGTGGGATGAGAGAACCTGTCCTGCTAGGTCACTGGGACCCAGGGACAACTCAGCCATCGAGCAGCCATGCTAGCAGAATCAGGCCAAAGGCCACCCTGGAAGCCAAGACAGGCCCCACTCGGGAGCTCAGCGCTTCTCCTGCACTCGGGTCCCAGGAGGACCCATCAGGCCTCTGCTCCAAATCCTCAGGCCGGGACACATGTGGCCATGACACCCTGGCCCAGCTGAAAGCTTCCCAGGGAGGCAGAGGGCACTGGGAGGACAACAGAGGGTCTGGAGACCATGCTCCCCATGAAGAGCCTCGTTGTGGGTTAGGAAAGGAACCTGGGGACACAGTGGGTCCACCCCAAGCCTCCATGCCAGGAACCTGGCTGACTCCCAGCCTGGGCTGACAGAGCCAAACCCTCTGATCACAACACTCGCATCCAACCCAACAAACCACCTGAAGCTGCCGGCTGCCCGCATCCTGCCCCTCTTCTTCCTCTTGCAGACGTGGACGAATGTAAGCAGAACCCCAGAATCTGCAAGGGCCGCAGCACCTGCACCAACACTCAGGGCAGCTACACCTGCCAGTGTCTGCCTGGCTTTGAGCTGAACCCAGAGGACCCGAAGCTGTGCACAGGTAGAGGCCCCAGGAGAACCCCTGAGGGTGGACAGGAGCCGGGGGTGCAGCAGAGGCAGGTCCTGCACCCAAGGAGAAGACCTGAGGTTCCCAAGGTCCAGGGGCTCAGGCTCCACCTGGGGAATCACCTCCAGGAATTCTCGCCACAGGGCAGGGTGGCCTCCGGGCCTTTGAGCTCTGGGTCCGTGTGGAGCCCCCAGACCTCAGCCCCACCCTCATCATTCATGTGAGAGTAGAAGAGTCGCTTTCAGTTCTGACAAGGAGCCTCCACCGTGGTCCCGAATAGGAAGACCAGAGTCCTTCCCTGGCTCACTTTTCCTCCTGGATCCACCTCCTGTAAACTGTAGACCAATTTGCTGTGCCCTTCATGCAAGAACGTCACCATGGGGTGCTCTGAGGGTGAAGCTGAAGGTCACCAGTGAGGAACATGCTGAGGTCCTTGGTTTGGGACAACAAAATGATGGAAAAGTAGGTGCAGTGAGTAGGGGTGTGGGAGCCAGTCAGGGGTGGGGACTGACCCCCTGCTTTGTCCTCAGATATCCATGAATGCGCCTCTGGTCAAAACCCATGCCACAAATCCACTCACTGCGTCAACCAAGTAGGCGGCTACCAGTGCCGCTGCCGACCTGGCTGGAAGCCGGTCCCCGGATCCCCCAACAGCCCCAACAGCACTGTGTGTGAAGGTGGGCTCAGAGGCCACACTCATAGGCCCGCAGTCCAGCCAGGATCGCAGCCCTCCCGGGCAAACCAACCATGTCCAGTGCTGCAGCATCTGTGCCAGCTAATGCTCCGGGGGCTGGACACAAACAGAGGGGTCTGGGGGAGGATCTGGGGTCTGACCGGATGCTCCCGGGGCCCTGGGCTGCAGCTAGTGACTAACTGGGTGACGAGTTTCCGCAGCCTCACAACCTGCACCTGCACAGGGCAGGTCTGGGGGGCACCAGGCCTCGCACACGCCTTGATCTGGCACCCACCTCACAAGGGTGTGGGTCACCAGGTAGCAGCCCAGGCAGGGCACTAATGGCAGGAAGAAGGGGGTGGAACTCAGATGGCAGAGAGCACTGGTCAAGGCTGAGGAGGGACTGACCCCTGTGTCTGTGTCCTCAGATGTGGACGAGTGCAGCTCCGGGCAGCATCAGTGCCACCAGTCCACCATCTGCACCAACACCCTGGGGTCGTACCAGTGCCACTGCCACCCAGGCTGGGAGCTGATTCCTGGGAGCGTCAATGGCCGGAACAGCACCATCTGCAAAGGTACCCTGCCTGCCCTGACCCCAGAACCTCCCCCACCCCACACACATACACACCCACGTGCACATGCTCATACACACCCACGCACGCACACGTGCACTCCTACTAATGAACCACTGTCCTGTCCCTGCAGTCATGCCCTTCTTCACCTGGCCTCTGCCCCCTGGAGTCCACAGCCAGGTGAGCAGCCCAGCCAGGACAGGGAGGTGGGAATCCCTGGGGCAGCACCCTGTCCACCCCTTGGCCCTGATCTTCCCACCCACATGTGACCCCTCATCTCACCTCCTCAGAGTCTCTCCCACTTCTTTGAAAAAGTCAACAATCTGCACAAGGATGTCAAGCCAATTCAGGCCAAGGGCACCATCCAGGTAAGGGCAGGATCCAGGGGAAGCAGGTGGAGAACTCCCACAGAGTGAGGGGGGCAGCTTTGGTCTAGGAGAGGGGACAGGCCCAAGCACAGTGGAGTCCTGCTCTGAGCTGGCCACTCTCCCAGGGCAGGTGGAAGAGGACACTGGGAGCCACACACACTGTTGGACGCCCACGTGCACTGTCTGTCCTCTTGCTCTCATGCTGGTCTTTGGGTTTTGTCATCCTTGACAGTCACGAACCAGGGCTGACCTCTGAGGAGCAAGGACCAGGGAGTCCCAAACCATGCTCTCTCTATCCCCAACTGGACAGTGTCTGGGTCTGTTCTCTGGGGCTGAGTGGTCAAGCTCTTCATGTGGATCTTCTGGCCCGAGTCCACCTGATCTGTGTCCCCATCTCTCCAGGGGATCATGCAGGAGGTGGATGAGCTGCTGGAGACCCCTGGGGACCTAGAGACCCTGCCCCCCTCACAGAAGCACTACGTGGCCACTCGCCTGTTAACAGGTCTGGAGAGTGCCCTGACACTCCTGAGCAGGGCTCTGCCTGAGGGGACAGCAACCTTCAATTATTCTGCAGGCACACGTAAGTCCCTGGGTCTGCGCCAGCCCCTATTCCTAGCCTCATCCTCTTCTGATCCCACTAGAGCTGAGTGGCCACACTGTACCTCAGCATGACTCACATAAATAATCACAACAGTGAAAAAGGCAGAAAACCAAAAATAGTACACATTTACAATATAGTAAAAATTATCAGCCATAAAATGACAATAAGGAATTTTAGGGGGGCTGGGGTTGTAGCTCAGTGGTAGAGCACTTGTCTAGAGGCATGGGGTTCGAGCCTCAGCACCACATACAAATAAGTGAAAAAGCAAAGGTATTGTGTCCATCTACAACTAAAATAATAATAAGTATTTTGCATAGCAAAATAGAAACAGCTTCCAAAATCTAATATGCAGTAATATAAATTAATCTTGCTTGATATTTAGCTATTAATTGTCTTATTGTGGTAAAATTCACTGAACAAGTTTCACTAATTAAGTTCACCATTTAAAATCCACCAGTTCGACATTTCAGTGGAATCAAGAACATTCACAAACTGATGCAGCCATCACCTCCATTTCTAAGACAGTTTTATCCAAAATCAAACGCAGCGCCTCCTCAGCTTTCATTCCTCATTCCTCCCCTCCCCCAGCCCTGGCATCCACTCACCTGCTTGCTGTCTTAATGGAGCTGCCTATTCCACCAATTAGAAAAAGCAATCATAAAAAGTATGACCTGTCCCTCTAGCTTCTTTCTCTTAGATAATCCTGTTGAGCATGGCATAGCATCACTCCACCCCTATTCATGGCTGAATATGATTCCATCCTATGGGTGTTGAGTTGACCCACTCAGCCACTGATGAACCTCTTGGCTATTGTGACTTACTACTAACAATAATGATGTGTAAGTGTTTGCTTGAATAACTGTTCTCAGTGCTTGGGTGTGTCTGTAAGGACTGAACTTGGTAGGTAACCTAGTAATTCCATGTGTAGTTTTGGGGGAACCACCAGATGTTTGCAGAGTTGCCACACTATTTCATAGTACCACCAGAGGGTTGCAGGAGTGGCCTCTCCATGGCTTCAGCTAAACATGTTACTTCCGATTCATTCGGTTTTATCACGGCCATTCTATTGTATGTGATGCGATGTCTTGTTGCCGGTTTGAGATGCATCTCCCTGTTGACAGGTGATGGTTAGCATCTTTTCAAGTGCCTCTGGGCCATTTGTGTATCTTTTTGGAGAAATATCTGTTCAGAGCCTTTGTGCATTTGTGATTGGGTTTGTCCTTTGGTTCTTGACTTGTAAGAGCTTTTCATCTATTTTGACAGGAAACCATTATGAGATGTGCAACGTGGAAATGCTTTTTCCATCCTATAGATTATCTTTTCACAGTGATAATCATTTCACTTTAATGTCAGATGTTTTAATTTTGAGGATGTCTACTTTATCTACTTTCTCCTTCATGGCTTGTACATTCAGTGTCATATCTAACAATCCATTGCCAAATCCAAGGTCAGAAAGACACCACTATATTTCCTCCTATGGGCTTCAGTTCTTAGATTGAGGCCTTTGTTCTATTTTGAGTTAATCTGTGTGTGGGGTGTGAGGTAGGGGTCCCACTTCCTTCTTTCTCAATGGATATCCAGTAATCCCTCATCAATCATTGAAGAGACTGTTCTTATGCCCATTGAATAGTCTTCGTCCCCTGGCTGAAAGGCAATTGACTGCAGAGGTGTAGATTTATTTCTGGGATCAACTTTCTCTCTGTCTTCATGCCAGTACCATGATGCTTTGGGCTCCTCTAATTTGCCGTCAGTTCTGGAATCAGGAAGTGTGAGTCCTCCACCTTTGTTGCTCTTTTCAGCCATGCTTTAACTACTTGGATCTCTTGCAATGCTGTGTTAGTTTTAAGGTGAGTTTTTCTATTTAAGCAAATTATAATATTAATGGCTGTTGGGACATGGATAGGGATGACATTGACCCTGTGCATCTCTTTGGGGCATGTTGCCATCTTACCAATATAAAGTGTTCCCACCAATGAACACAAGGTGTCCTTGCCTTCATTTGGGGTCTTTAATGCCTTTCAAAACCTTCTGTAGTTCTCTATATACACGTCCTGAGTCTCTTAAATTTATTTCTAATATTTTGTTAGAGATTGTTGTGTCTATGTTTATAAGAGGTATAGGTCTATTTCCTTTTCTCGGGATGTCTTTATCTGGTTTGGGCATCAGAGTAATATTGGCCTCCAGGACTTACTAGATGCTGTCCCTTCTTCTGTTGTTTGAAAGAGTTTAGAAAGAATTCTTGTTCATTCTTCCCTATATGTTTAGTGAAATTTAACCATATTAAGTAGGTGAAAATCTGATCTCACATGTTTTATTTAGGAGGTTTTTCATTATTGATTCAATCTCTTTACCCATTATAGGTCTCTTCAAGTTTTCCACTTCTTCTTGAGTCAGTTTTGGTAGCTTCTGTCCCTCAGAATGTGTCCATTTCATCTCAGTTATCTAATATGTTGGTGCACAATTGTTCCTACTGTTACAATTCTTCATAATCACAGATTTTATATAATATATGTATGCACACATATGTATACACAACAAATACATACACATACAGATAAAATCTGAAATTACAAAGGTTTATATACATATATGTATGTGTACACATGTGTGTCTATAAACAAACGTGTGTGGTTATAGTGAATTGGATGTTACTCATAGGTCCTTGATATATGTGATATACATGTGTACATATACAATAGCCACATACACACACACACACACACACACACACACACACACACACACACATATATATATATATATATATATATATATTCCTAACATAACTCTTCTTCTTGTGATTCATAGAACTGTCCCTGGAGGTACAGAAGAAAGGAATTTGCAATGTCACCTTGAGTCTGAATCAGGCAAAGATGCAGCTGAGCTGGAATCTAGCACAGGAATCTTGTTTCACAGGTAACATCTGAGATGGGGAGAAGGTGGATGTCCACCTTACACCAGTACCATACTGTTTGGAAGAGGCCTCAGGGTGGGAAAAGATGCCCAAGGATGTGAAAAAATACAGAACTAAAGACTAAAGGGTGATGTGGGTGGGAAGAGGTCACTAGAAGAGTGTCCAAAGGGGAGGTTCTTGGGAGTGATGAGGCCACATTCTGTTGTGTGCACGTGTGAATGTGGAGCAGCAAGTCCCACTATTATGTATCATTATAATACAACAATTCAAAAGGAGCAGAGGCCATCTAAGGAGGAGGCCCTGGAGGAGATCCAGAGACTCACCCGTGGCCTTGTCCTGCAGGCCCTTGTGTGGTGGGCTTGGTCTCCACCCCAGCGATGGACAAGCTGATGGCCGAGGCTCCCCTGGTCCTGGAGCCTGAGAAGCAGGTGGCTCCCCATGGGACACACGAGGACTTGCTGCCAAGAATCTCGTCTGTGCTGCTCTCAGATGTGATCTCAGCCTTTTTGAGCAGCAACGACACCCAGAACCTCAGCTCATCAGTTACCTTCACCTTCTCCCATCCTGTGAGTGGGGGGGGCAGTGTGGGAAGAGCCCCAAGCCCAGGCACACCCTTGTTGTCTATCTTAACCTTGAGGGTCAGGGGGACTCCCCACAGATGCCCCTGATCCAGGAAAGCCAGCCCTTCCTGGGTCAGCATCTCTGAGTGCAGGAAACCAGCACACACCCCTGTCCTGTTCCTACAGCCAGTGACACCAGCACCAAGGCACAAGGTGCTCTGTGTCTTCTGGGACCACAGCCAGAATGGGAGTCACTGGACCACTGCAGGCTGCAGGACAGTGAGCACCGGAGGTGGCAGCACCACCTGCCACTGTACCCACCTCAGCAGCTTTGCTGTCCTCATGGTCCACTACCATGTGCAGGTGAGAGGCTGCCTTCAGCATCAATTGCTGCAAAACACACTTATGCAAATGTCGCTGCTGAAGTAAAACAAATTTGTTCCCTTGCGGTTTCTGTGGGTCAGCAACCCAGCACAGGGGGATGAGTTCCTTGTGCAGGTTCTAAAAGACTGACAAGATCACATCAGCCAGGGCTGCAGTCTCTTCTGGGTCTTGCAGCCCTCCTCCAGCTCCCTGGTTGCAGGCAGAGTTCAGTTCCCTTCTCTTAGCAGCTGTCAGGGGGGACCACACTCAGTTCCTAAGAGCCACCCACATTTCTTCTCATATGGCTCTCTTGTTGGCCTTCTCACAAAACACCAGTGTTCCCATCTGAAAACCAGCATTAAAATGTCCCTTGTGTAGATTCCTCTCAAGTTTTGAATCTTTTTCCCCAGGAAGAGTCCAGATCTTTAATGCAATCACCTGATTACACCAACCCCAGGAGAATACACTCCCTAATCTAAACATCAGCAGATCAAGACCCAAATTCCACTTGCAAAATCCCTCTACAGCAACACCTAGTTTATCAGAGAATTGAATAATTAGAAGAAGGTTTGTGTAACAGCAGGGGGTGGACATATGAAGACCACGTTAGAATTCTACTTACCACCAGGGTCTGTAAGTCAACCTTAGTCAGGGTTTCAGGTTTACAAAAAAGGAAGGTCTGGTGAAGGTGGAGGTCAGAGGGGGTCAGGGGAGTCAGGGAGGATGGCTGGACTGGGGGCTGTATACCTCCTCCTCTGGCCAGGTAAATAGACACTTCTGCTTCCCCAGGTTCAGACTCTCAGGTGAGCCCAAGTTATGGGCATTTACTGTGAACACCCTGTGACTATGAGCATGACAAAGATCTCAGCCAAGAACTTTTTATATATTATGGAAATTAGATTTTGTCTTTACATCAGAAGTTCTCAAAATTCAGCACATGTTAATATCACTTGGAGGAACATTTATTTTTAAGTGCTTTCTTAGGAAACAATTTCTATTTTTTAGATATGTTTCAAGGACAAAAATAGAAGAAATAGATCAGATACTTGGTTAAAGGAAGAAAGTTAATGATGATGGTAACTTAAAATTTACACTTTCCCACCTATTTCACCAGGTCCTCTTAAAACCATGAGGAAATGAAAAGAAAACCCACCACCCCATTATGCTTTACCCAGAGACATCTATTTTGAAAGTTTTGCCTCTGTTTCATTTATCAGGTGTCATTCTTTCCTTCTGCTTCTCCTCTGTACTGCCTCCTAATTTCGCAATTTTGTCTTTACACCATAGTCTCAAATGTAGCATCCACAAATGTCACCTGTAGAGTTTGTACTTTCTTTTCAAACATTTTCTTGGGAAACCATTTCAAATTTACAGATATGTTGCAAAAACAAAATCCACACAAACAACATCTGTGTGCACTTGATCCAGATGCACTTGCTTTGAAATTTTGCCTTCATTATTTACCATTTGAACATTTCCCTCCCTCTTTCCTCTTCTCTCCTCTTTCCCTCAATTACACTGAAAGAGAATTGATGGTGGGCTTTTAAATATCCTCATGGCTTTAAGATGATTTTCAGAAAGAAGTGGGGGAAATGTGAATTTTAAGCTACTGTTATCATTAATTTTATTTTTAACCAAGTATCTAATTCTGACTTCACAGGGACTTGTGGCCAGTAAGGAACAGGAGAGCTGAACTGAGGCCAGTGGTGTCTGGGATGGGAGGTTAATGCCTGGACACTGAGGTGCAGGTTCTGTCCTGTGGCCTCATGGAACAGGGAAAGAGGGACCCTCAGCATGGGCTTCACACACACTCACTTACATATCAACAGACACCTTACTGTGCCCCAAAGTCAGGAATCCCGAGTCTCCTCCTTGAGTAAGGACTCTACACATCCGGGCCCTTCTAGCCGCTTACCTGCTCCATTCATAAAACCTAACAGTCCAACCTTCTGAACCTGGAGCCCCTCCCCCATCAGCTTCACACCTGGACCCGGTCCCTCCATCCTGAATCTGCTGCACCAAATGACACAAATAGCGGAGGGGTTCCTACCCCACAGCAGGGCACGTGGCTGTAAAGGCACCTCCCTCTTCCCCAGGACGACGACCCTGTGCTGAGCCTCATCACCTGCGTGGGGCTGGGCGTGTCGCTGCTGTGCCTGCTCCTGGCGGCCCTCACCTTCCTCCTGTGCAGAGCCATCCAGAACACCAGCACCTCCCTGCACCTGCAGCTCTCGCTCTGCCTCCTGCTGGCCCACCTGCTCTTCCTCATGGCCATCGACAGAACCCAGCCCAAGGTACCCAGGGGTCCCCGCCCCGCCTGCCCAGGGGTGCTGAACTCAGGAGCCAGGCTGCCCAGCTCCTAATCAAACAGCCTGGGTCCCAGGGAAGTCCATAGGAGGTCGATGCCCATTTCACGTTGATGGATTCAACGAGAAAATGAACCCTCTTTACAACCCCATCACCTACATCTCTTGTTGCTTAGCAACAGGGCTTGCATTCTGGGGAAGTTCCTTCATTAGGGGACCTGGTAGGGTGAACTGAGCCAAACTCTAGGTGGCATCCGTCAATCACCAGACGTGGCCTCCTGATTCAATCAGGAGACACGAAGGAGGCGACTGGGCTGGCGTCACACGGCACCACGTTTTACAGTAGACAGTTTTTACCAGAAGAAAAAGGAGGTTCTACTGAATTTACTGAATTTTTAAAATGGTACATCGAGTCCTTTGTTTACAAAATTCCTATTTGGTTCATTTTTATAATCTGGATTTAGTGAAATGATCCTCCACTTCCTGTATCTCCTCCAAGTTCATTCCTCACATCTTCTTTCAGCTCATTGAATATTTTAACTAGGAGCTTTCTAAATTCTTCTCCAACATTTCCTCTGCTGTTGTGCCTACAGAGTCAGTTCTTGGAGTGCTGTGGGCTGTGTGGTTTGCTCCCTTGCTCTTTCCTGCTGCTTGTAGGTCTGCCCACCTTCTGGGTTCAGTATCTTCTCTGCTTTGATGCACAGGATTACTTAGTGACCTTCTGTCTCTTAAGAGCCCAGGGATGGGAGAATATCCAGCTACTGATAATGTCATTCAATGCGCATGCTCAGCTGTTCCAAGGATCAGCACCATTTGGAGAGAAGATACTAAACACTGTGACTACAGTCCCTTCTAAAATAATGTGAAAAGCATAGTGTAGTATTAGGTCCTACCTGTCCTTGTGTGGCCCTGCAGTTCCATAACCAGCAGCGCAGCAGGTTTGTGCACAAGAGCATCCCCACTACTGCATGAGGAACACCACAGGGCAGCGCTGGAAGGTTGTGAAGTCACTGGGCAACAGGCCCTTTCCAGCTCTGCTGTTATTTATGGGAGCACTCACGCAGTCCATGGCTGAAGCAACACAGTGCAGCACATGGTGCACAGCAGAATCCCCCCCCACAGGGTACAGGGGGCATCCCAGGCCATGCCCAGACCCTGACTCTGCTCTGCCCCTGGGTCTCTCTCCTCCCCAGGTGCTGTGCGTGGTCACCGCGGGCGCCCTGCACTACCTCTACCTGGCCTCCTTCACCTGGATGCTGCTGGAGGGGCTGTTCCTCTTCCTCACCTCACGGAACCTGACTGTGCTCAGTTCCTCCAGCAGAAACAGGCTCATGAGGAGGCTCATGTTCCCTGTGGGCTACGGAGTCCCGGCCGCCATCGTGGCCATGTCTGCAGCAGCCAGACCTCACCTGTATGGCACCCCTGCTCGGTAAATGCGGACCCCACTTGTCCTTCTCCTCTCGAGCATGTCCATAGCCATCACTTGAACCAAAGTAGCATTTTGAGTATTTCAGAGCTTAAGATGCACAGTGACACTAATTAGTAACCCCTAGGGCATCTTTCCTGTGAAAAAATATAGTAAGGATTAATTAATTAACAGAATCTCTCTCCTAGAAATAGCAAAGAAAGAAAAATCAAAAGAAAATTTTTCGTTTTTGATTTAACCTACATTTTATCCAAATCCTATAGAATGCCCCAATTGCTCATTTGGGAAAGTAGAATTGATTTAAATAACCAAACTAATAGACAAAGATAATCACCAAACTTGTGATTGTGGTTACCTCAGTGACAAGGAGGATATGCAATCAGAGAGGGAGAGTCGTCTCATCTTCGGTGAAACTTCTTAATTGCTTAAGCTCACATGTCAGTCCTAGGGATTTCATTATACCAGTTATAAACTTTAATGATGCAGAACAAAAATGTTTTAATTACAAAATTAAAATTAAACATAGTGTCATAGTTAAGATTTACAGGGTGCTTATTTCATGTCAGGTGCTTCTCTGGCCACTTTTATATGGATTAACTCAAATAATCCTCACATCGCTACTTGCAAGTAGATGCTGTCATTAGCTTGATTTTATCGATGAGGAAATAGAGGTACAATTGAGTTAAGTGCCCAAAGGTGGCAAAACTAGCAAGTATCCACACACTGAAGTTTATTGCTGCACTCTCCACAATAGCTGAGTCACTGAATCAGCCCAAGTGCCCCTCACAGATAAATGAAGAAAGAAGAGGTGGTGTATATACATGATGCATTACTATTCAGCCTGAAAGAAGAACACTATTTAACATTTGCAGCAACAGGGATAAAACTGGAGAACATTATATTAAGTTAAATGAGCCAGGCACAGAAACACAAGTACCACATATTGTCTCACATTTGTGGAAGCTAAAAAATAAATCCACCTGAAAGTAGAACAGAGTGAATTCAAGAGATCCAGAAGGGTGCAGGACAGTGGCAAGGAAAGCAGAAAAGGGGGGTAGGGTTGAATCAGAGCACACGATGGGCCTGGGTGGAAATACCATGCTGGGCTCCTCTAATACAGACAATTAATATCTTCATGGGTGAAATTCATTTAGCTGCATTATGAGTGAACCTTGAAATATCATGTTAAGTGAAAGAATGTAGTCATTAAAGATCACACATTTCATGATTCTATTATGTGAAATGCCAAGAAGAAACAAATCGATAAGAGAAAATAGATTCCTGTGGCTGGGGACAAGGTAAGGGGTGGAGCAGGAGGGAAAAGCAGGTGCTGATGTGCACATGTTTCTTTCTGGAACTGTGAGAATGTTCCACAGTTAGGTTGTGGTGATGGCTATACAGCACTGTTTTGTTCAAACAGAAACTGTGCAGTTCATTTTTCTGCATTTTTATTGGTGCTTTATAGTTGTATATAATGATGGGATTTGTTGCTACATATTCGTGCATGCACACCACATGACAATGTAACAGAAGTGTGCACTTTTAATGAGTAAATTTTATGGTACATGAACTCAATGTCCATAAATCAATGAAAGAATTGTGGTCATTGGGTAAGTTTAGCAGCAGAAAAAAAGCAACTCTATTGAATGTGGCAAGATGAGCCCTTAAAATGATGTGAGGTTCACAAGACTCTCAAGCACTGTGACCATGTTCACAGTCCTCTGCCCTGCTCCAGAGCTGGCTACCTCAATAATACCCACCCATCTTCATGTCTCCGTTAACATGTGATTTCCTTGGGGAATTCTCCTTAACCATCTTAATCCCACAGACCCAAACCTTAATATGCCCTCCAGTGATTCATCCTCAGAACCTTCCATTTTTGTTTTGTTGTTACAATGTGTCTATAGTGTGTGTCCTCCTGGAGGTGAGACTTGGGAGATTTACAACTGGGTTTACTTTCTTGGTATCTTCAGAGCAAGACAGAAAGCCTACCACCCAGACACTCAATGTTCGTTGAGGAAAGGGAGGAAGAGATCGAAATAACTGCTCTCTGTCTTCAAGGATCAATGCACTTATTCTCTCTCTTTGTTAATTTCTCATTTGTTCTTTTTAGATATACATGGCAGTAGAGTGTACTGTGACATATCACACATACAGGGAGTCTGGCTTCCCATCTTGTGGTTGTGCATGTGTGGAGTGAAACTGGTCATGGAGTCCTACATGAACACAGCAAAGTGATGTTCTCTCTCTTGCTCAGGTGCTGGCTCAATCCAGAACAGGGGTTTGTGTGGGGCTTCCTTGGACCCGCCTGTGCCATCTCTTGTGTGAGTGATGTCATCAGAGTTCCTTGCTGTCCACATGAGGGTCACTAGAAGAGCAGGATTATAAGGATGGTGATGAGAACAGGACTATCCCTGGATTGTTATGGGTTGGGTTGGGTTTTCCAAGACTTCTGCATCTACAAATTCTAACGCTATTGTCAAATACTAAAAGCTACATGGGCTACAATGGAGAGATAAGAGATTTAAAATTTTATTCAATAAAACTTTGCTGTGGGAGATTTTTGTGTAGCTCAAAAGCAGAGAGCTTGCCTGGCATGCACTAGGGTCTGGGTTCCCTTCACAGAACTGCAAAAAGGAAAAGAAGATATTCATAAACCTCCTGCAGTTTCTTTTGGGGGGTTCTTTTTAGTTATACATGAAGGTAGAATCAGTTCTGATAAAATTACACACGCATGGAATATACCTTATCTAGTTAGGAGCCCATTCTCGTGAATGTACATGATGGTGGGATTCACTGTGATATTGTCATATATGTATACAGGAAAATTATGTCAGATTCATGCTGCTGTCTTTCCTTTGTGGTTTCTTGAAGGTCAATATGGTTTTCTTCCTGATGACACTCTGGATTGTGAAGAGCAAGCTGTCCTCCATCAACAGAGATGTGTCCACCCTCCAAAACACAAGGTGGGAGGGACCAGGGGACACAACCCCACACAGGTGGATGATGCCCAAGAGCAAAGCCATGTGCCTGGACAGCCCCTCTGTGTGGCCCATAATTAATACAGCTGCCCTATACCTGCCATCTTAGACTCAGGGCTCTGCTGCTGATGCCCCAAAATGCCTCCAATTCTGATCCCAGCTTGTGACTCCCTCAGCCTCAGTAGGAATTGGTATTGGCTGATCAGCAATGCTTGGACTCTTTTTCAGCTCTTCTACAGCAAAAGTGACAAGAGCATTGTTCTTCTCCTGACAGTCGCCACATCTCAGGCTGCACTTTCTTGCCCCACCCTCAGCTCAGAATCCTTCCCACCCTGTAACTAACTGTTCCTCCCTGTAGATAAACGCTACTCCAGTTCAGTCCTCCAGGGGGCAGGGTTGTTCCTTCACTCAGCATCTTGGGTAAAATTCATGCTCTTTCTTCTGGGTTCCTCTGATTAACCTTTCAAATTTTTGCATATCATCATTTAGTTGTATTAGACACTTGAACAGAGCAATCGATTAATGAAAACAGAAATTTGTCCTGTGTTTGTTTTCTAAGATAGGGCCTCACTGTGTTTCCCAGGCCAAGTGATCCTCTTGCCTCAGCCTCCTGAGGAGCTGGGGCTACAGGGGAGCACCTGTGCCCACAGCCTCTTGGTGATTTATGTCCAAGCCCTAGCACAGGGCATCCTCAGTAACACTGGTTAATGAAATTAGGGATCTTCGTGGAAAATGAGTTTTTGGAATTCACCTTATGCAGCAGTATCACTGTCCTGGACCCAAAATGGTATTTCTATTGTGGGGTATCATTGAGAGTAAAGATCAGAGCTCAGTCCAAGAAATTGCTTACAGGGGAGAGTAGATGCATCCAAGGGTGGAGAGGGGAATAGCCTGATTTTGTTGTGGGTGCATTATAAGCCTCATTCTTCCCCAACCTAGGGTGCTGACATTTAAAGCAATGGCTCATCTCTTCATCTTGGGCTGCACCTGGTGTCTGGGTGTCCTGCAGGTGGGCCCCATGGGCCCTGTCATGGCCTACCTCTTCACCATCATCAACAGCCTGCAGGGCTTCTTCATCTTCCTGGTGTACTGCCTCCTCAGCCAACAGGTACCCCTGCCCAGCTCCCACCCATGCCTCCCCACCCACACCCCTTTCTGTGAGCTGACCCAGAGTGTGGGTTGCCTCTGCAGGTCCGGGAGCAGTACAGGACATGGCTCAAGAAGATCAGGAAACGAACAACTGAACCCGAGGCCTACACTCTGTCTAGCAAGGCTGTTTCCGATGCCTCCAGACCCAGCACGGTAGGGTCACTCCCTCCTCCCAGAGCTCACGTTCCCTGGTATTGGCAGGATTTCTCCCCTCCTGTCCACAGACCATGCTTCCCCTGCCTACTGGACTCCACCATCATGCCTGCCTGTGGACTGACCTTACATTATTCTCTCTCCCTCCCTCCCACCCACCTAGTTCCTGCTTATTATCATTGTGTCCCCACCCTTATCTGAGTCTCCTAAAGACCCTGGTGATGACCTTAGGCTCACCTGGACAATCCAGGATGATTTTCTCATCTCAAGATGCTTAACATGCATGATCCCACTGATATGTGAAATGCAAACATTGATTTCATAGAAACAAAGAGTAGAACAATGGTTCCCAGAGGTTGGGGAGGAGGGGGTGGGAAAGGCTTGATCAGTGGGTACTAAGTTACAGTCAGGAGAAAGAAGCTCTGTGGTGTGTCGCACAGTAGGTCACTAGACCACAAAGTGCACTGTGCCTTTCCAACAGCTCTGAGGGGCTGGGGGCCACTCCGTGGGAGGCCCTTGCCTGGCATGTGCAAGGCCCCAGGCTCCATCCCAGCACCAAGTCTCTTTAAAATACAAAGAAAGGATTCTGAGAGTTTTTACCTCAAATAACTAATGCATGTTGGAAGAGATAGTTATGTTTAACCTGATGTAAACACTCACACTGTAGACAGGCAGGAAACATCACATTATACCATTAATATGTGCCATCTAAGTAGATTTAATGTAAAATTAGATTTTTTGATCTTTAACATACTCCTTCTTGAGAATTACCTTTTCCAGGCATGGTAACACTCACAGGCTATGGGATTAGGATGTGGACATCTGTAGGGTCATTATTTTGTCTATCACAACAATTACATAGGTTGGCTTTCTCTCTCATGGAGCTGTAAAAATCTTCCTCTGGTTGTAGATAACTGAATAGATTCATCCCCCACCTCCCTCCACCACAGCCCTAGGAATGATATACACATTGAGGAAAAGAAATGGCAACTTTTAAATCTAGAAAATAGGAAGGCATCAGTTGGGAAAGAAGGCTTCTGAAATTCAGGTGATATGATCAGGTGTTTCTACCATCTTGGGCACTGGACTTCGAGGGTCCACTCTGTTGGTGGCCTGATGTCATTTTATCTTCCAGTGTCTCCTTAAATGAGGCATATCCAGGGTTTCAGTTGATGGACTCTCTTCCTCTCATTTTGGAATCCCTCCCTTGGCTCATTAAATAAAAACAAAACATTTTGTCTTGTAACCAGTTCTGAATAATTTTCTGAAGCACAGCATTCATAAGGCTCCAGTGAATCAGTGTCACTTCTGAGAAAGTCCAAAATCAGCAAAATGAAATCTCATGTGGCCTCTTGATCATGCCCTGATAAATCCATTGGGCAAGAAAATATTGTGATTGAAGTGTGTGTGTGTGTGTGTGTGTGCACGCGCGCACGCATGCGTGCGTGCGTGCAAATGCAACATCGTACCCTATAAAGGTAGATGATTATTATTTGTCAATTGAAAAATTTTAAAAATCAGGGAGCAGCATGGTTGCTAAGACCCTCCATTGGTCATCCTCCAGGCACAATGGCTTTACAGCTATAATTTACAAACTCATTGTGTATTTCTGGGGTGTGCCCCATGAATATACAGAAAATAAAATGGTTACTGTAATAAAGGAAATTAACTTACCCATCATCTCACATTCATGTTTGTATATGAGCAGCTGAAATCTCTTTATCTAACAAATCATTTCTTTCCTTTTTTAAACGGAAGCTGTGAGTTGTTTTTCAATAATCTTATGTCATTTTTAAATAATTATCATTCCAGACTAATTAGAAAGATCGCGAGAGCTACATCCTCCTTACCCATGGTGCTGAGCAAACTCAACATCCAGATGCCACCTGCAGCCCAATTCCTCAGTTTCTCTGTTAAACGTTCTTCTACTTCCCACCCTTCCTATGAGGCCTCTTCCATGCAAAAATTATAGAAAAAAAACAGCCTCCCAGGATGCTCACAACCACAGCATTCAAAAGGAATAGAACTCACCTTAAAATTTTTGAGAAAAAATAAAATATAAATAGAAAAAAATTATAAAAATAAAATATTGTGGTGCATACAAGGAAGAGACCTTGCTCTATGTGGGACGTGGGCTTCTGAGGATGTGGAAGGCTCCCCAGAATGCCATATTCCACTTAAGTTCTTCATAGTAATGTAGAGGCCAAATTGCCAAGAAAATTAATCCCCAGATAATTTCCTGACAGACATGTTAGTAAAGTAAGAAGTAAAGAATAGGAGACAAGACTAGGAAGACAGGGAGGTGGGCCTGGGTCACTTCCTGGGCAGTGAGTACAAACAGCACCTGCAGATATTTGCTAAGAAACTTACAAAAAGGCTATTTTTAAGTCAGGACCTATGTGACTATGGTCCATGCCCCTCCAAGGAAGGAAAAAGTCCCAATGGACATCTGGATTGGACAAAAGGCTTCATGAATACCTTGTGGACACTGCATGAATATACTTTGTGACTTTTTCTATTTGTGCTAATTAATGCAAGTACTGGATGCTTTGTCTTGTAGGGCTTCTACAGAACAAGCAGTTGTGGTTTGGTATCAGGGTTAACACAGACTTGGAAAATTTTTTGGCACATTTATTTCCATGAGATTCCCAATAATTCATATGCATTGCAAATAGGTGAGATTTCAAAATTACTGATGATATTTCTGGGTGATGAATTGGGTGACTCAATTTCTTCATTAATTGGTCCATTATACTTTTTAATTAAAAATTAATCAAGCCTATAGAAAATGTGGATTCTTCATCAATAATGGGAATTATACAGACCTGGCTTTTAACATTTTACCTAAATGGTGGTTATTACCAGGACATTTCAAAGTGAAGTTCAGAAGTCATTCCTAAGACACCTGAGATCAGGAAGGCTGCTGACCAGGTGCATGGGAGTCCCCTAGGTCCAGTCAGCTTTGGGGACTAAATTAGGTTTGGTGACTGGGATTTCCAGCTGGTGGTGGCAACAAAAGGGAACCAGTTTCACTAAGGAACCCCAGTGTGACCCACAGCAGAGGAGAGGCCACCAAGTCTATGCCTCCTAGAGCACTGGGTCCACGCCCCAGGCAGCCAGGGTCCTGAGGTGGCCGTGGACTTCCTCTACATGCCGCTTCTCCCCTGGGGACATTTACTTTACAGGGAACCAGAAAACCACACGGGGACTCCAGGATTTCTCCTCCAGGGACTTTCTGAGAAGCCAGGGATTCACTCGGTTCTCTCTGGGCTGTTCCTGTCCTTGTACCTGGTGACCATCTTTGGCCACCTGCTCATCATCCTGGCCACCATCTCAGATCCCCACCTGCACATGCCCATGTACTTCTTCCTCTCCATCCTGTCCTTTTCTGCCCTTTGCTTCACCTCCACCACCGTCCCCAAGATGCTGGTGAACATCCAGACACAGAGCAAGGCCATCACCTACGCAGGCTGCATCACCCAGATGTGCTTCTTCACTGTTTTTGCACTGCTGGACAATGGACTTCTTACTGTGATGGCCTATGACCACTTCATGGCCATCTGCCGGCCCCTGCACTACACGGTCCTCATGAGCCCCAAGCTCTGTGCTCAGTTCTTCTCCTGAGCTGGCTCATCAGTGTCCTGGGAGCCCTTCCTGAGAGCGTGAATGGACTGAGGCTCCCCTTCTGCACAGACGTGGAAATCCCACACTCTTTCTGTGAATTCCCTGAGGTCCTCAAGCTCGCCTGCTCATACCTTCATCAGTAGTGTCATATTGTACACAGTGACAGGTATTATGGGGCTTTTCCCTCTTTCTGGGATCCTTTTCTCTTATTCTAAAATTGTGGCTTCTGTCCTGTGGATCTCCACAGCAGGAGGGATTTGTAAGACCTTTTCAACCTGCAGTTCTCACCTCTCAGTTGTCTCCCTGTTCTATGGAACCTGCCTAGGGGTCTACCTCAGCTCCACAGGGACACGCGCCTCCTGGACAGGGGTGTTGACCTCCACCCTGTACACCCTGGTCACCCCCATGGTGACCTTACAGCTTTTCAGCTCCTTCCAGTTTTTGAACAGGGTTAACGAGCAAAACCAGCGTGTCTGCATACACGCTATCATTCCTTTTAAAACCTTAAAAGAATTAAAAATGCGTGTGGTACTTATGGCCCTAATTCCCATTTGTACAAAGCTTGCTCAACTCAGTTTGCCAAAAAACCCTTCCGCCCAATGACTGGGTGTCCATGGCCAGGGCTTGTCTGAATGGCAGTGACTGCCTCCTCTGGGGGTCTAACTGGACAGATTTTTGTACCGAGCAGTTTGAGAGATACATGAGTCAGAATCTTGAGACCCCTTTGGAGATGTTGATGGGAATGGGTGAATTTGCAGATTTAGAGAAGCAGCTAAACTATTATTTGGCGGTTTATGATCAGAATAATTCACGTGCAAACAAGGCCTGGCAGCCAATTTCTTCCAGGGATCAGTCTAATCTAGTTTGACTAAGATAAAACACGGCTCAGAATATCCATTCTCTGACTTTGTAGAGTGCTTTTTCACAGGTCCATGGGGGACTCAGGTGCCTGTGAGTTGGTTGCTAAGCAGCTAGCATTGGAGGTAAGGCCTGCCAGGACATCCTCCTGCCTCATAGGGAAAAGGGGACCATCTCAGAATTAGTTTGCCTTTGTGCAGTCATCGGCCCAAGCCAATGAAAAGGTTTTACACTCACCATGGGTTTGAAGCAGGTACTGCACCCCCAAACCCAGGGATGCCTTTCTCATAGGTGTCGGTAAAGATGGTGCCCCCATGGCTTCTGTTCCAGGAGATTAGGTCTGTAACATACTGAATGGTGGGAACTTTGAATCCTGTGCAAACCATCACCTCCAATCCCTATGAATGGCACACCTCCAATCCCTGAAGTGGCGTGAACTCTCAGACAATAAAGAAGTAACAGCCCACTCCCTCCCTGCTCCCCCTCACCCCATATTGAGCCCATAAATATCAACACCATGTTCATTCTCATTCTCTCTCTCTCTCTCTCTGTCTCTCTCTGTGTCTCTCTCTCCCTCTCTGTCTCTCTCTCTGTCTCTCTCTCTCTCCCTCCCTTCCCCTCCCCCTCCCCCTCTCCCTCCCCTCTCTCTCCCCCCTCCCCCTTCTCTTCTGTGACTGGACACTATGGTCCCGCTAATAAAATCTCAGGCAGGTAAATGGTTGTTTGGGTTGTTGAGTTTAGGGAGCTTTTCCGCATCCTACATTGGTGCCAAAACCCAGGATGAAACCCAGGATGTGGATCCCATTGGTAAAGACAGAACGCCATTCCCAAACTCCATGCCTGACAATTCCTGTCACAGTCCACTCCTCTGATCACCTGCCTGACATCCACCACCGACCTGCAGATTGGTGAGTGCCCCCCTCCCATGAACGCCTGAACCCCAACTCACCAGAACCAGGGAATTGGCCCTTGAGAGTCCGGAAATCCCTCGGGTGTGTTGGGGGGGAAATGCACCCCACCCAGACCCATCAGGGTTGCGGTGGACCCCGGGTGCTCTTCTAGGACACCCCTTAGAATCGACTGCCTGGAAAGTAGGATGAATTCGCCCTTTATGACTCCTTCATCTCCCCTCGCTCGCGGCTCCCGTGGATGGATTAGCGCAGTTGCTGCAGCCTGTCTCACTGGAGTTCTGACCCCGTTCCGCCCAGAAATCCTTCAAACACTCTCCTTCTGACTCTTTCATTCCACTCGAAAAATTCTCCTGACGTCAAGTTGCCCATGGCCTCGGCCCTATTTGTGTCTCACAGATCGCACTCCCCTGGTGATGACCAGGCAGTGCCCTCTATTTCCCTGTGGAGGTTGGCCATTTTGGGGACACCCACAAGACCCTCCATCCACTTGGGAGCTTCCAGAAAGTTCTTTCCAGCTCGGGCTCGCTCTCTCTCTCTCTCTCTCTCTCTCTCTCTCTCTCTCTTTCTCTCTCTCTCTGACTCCCATCTTGCACTTCCAGCATGGGAAATTCCTTGTCCCTCCTGGCACATTCTCCCCTGTGGGGCCTCTTAGATAATTTGAAAACCCTGAGCCTGGCCCCTGATATTAAACCGAAAAGGCTCATAAAATTCTGTACCATGGACGGGCCTGCACACCCCCTGGACATCCAAAATGTTAGCTCACCTGTGGGTCTCTGGATTCCAGTTTACTCCGCAATCTTTTAATTACTGTGAGTGATAAAGAAGTGGAAGTAGGGGAAGATGGCCGCTGCACACGGGGGTTGCTGAAGTGCTGAGCGTGGTGCTCAGAGCAGCGGCTTTAATAGAGATTACGCGCAGCATGTAAGAGCTCCTTTCACCGTTAATCTGTAGCAGACCACTTTGCCAAGCAGCAGGAAGAACAAAGAGATTGAAAAAGAAACACTTGGCTCCCAGACGCTTTGC